TTCGTCCGGGGGCCCTAGGGGCCGCCCCGCGCGCGCGAACTACTTAGAAAGATTGTTAACAAGTTACCGGAGATTTCAGCACGCCTCTGGCCCGTTGGGCCAGCGAATTTGGAGGTAGCACGCATGCAGGCGTCCATGATGCAGCCGCCGGGAGGGGGGGGAGCCTAAACTCCGCACGTGGACAGGGTCGGTGGATTTTGCCGAAGACGCAGGAGGCGGCGTGAAGGCCTGTAGTCGATGGCCAGCTCGAGGTTGCGGACCATGAACGGCCCTGTGCTGTAGCAAAGGATCGCGGCATGAGCGCCCGTGAACACACGAGCAGTTCACCGTATTGTACCGATCGCCACCTCGGCGTCTCGGACGTTGCCGTAGTGGACGTAAGTGTAGCCAGGGGACCGTAGGGTCATTCTCGTGGTAGACGCGGATCTTCTCGACCGAGATCGCCGCGGCGAAGAGATCGCCCCTAAGGGGCCCGATAGGCGCCGCAAGATTTCGAAATCCTCTCACCACGCAGGTCCCAGCGCCTTCGGCGCCCGCGCGCGCGGCAGCCTTCGGCCGCCATCGGCCGCCATCGGCGACGCTTCGGCGGCCCCAGCGGCGGCCAAGGCGCCCAAATTGCCTCGGCGTGCGTGCCCGCGAGGCGCCCAAATTGCCTCGGCGCCCACATTGCTTCGGCGGCGTGCCGCAGAGGCGCTGCAGGGTCAAGAGAGGAAACACCGCCCCGACTCCCAGAGCCAGCCTTCACCAAGCGGTCCTGCCCTGCGCGGTTCCTCCAGTGGCCGCGCTCAGTGAGCAGTAAGCGGCTTCGCCTGCATGGGGTGCTCGCCATGCGGGTGGTTATTCTGCCCTCTAGTCGTGGCGCGCCTCCAGGCGGGGCGCGCGGAGGCGAGGTCCCCTCGGCGGGCGTCGGCGACTGCTCCTCCTCCCCCACGCACCCCCAGCGTTTCCTTGTATGGGGTTTGTTACGGTCAAGCCGCATCATAAGGATGAGCAGCTTTCCACTGGGTAATTCCCCTTGCATTCCTGCCCCATCGGCCCACCCTGGGCCCTCGCCATGGGTCCTGGGCGTCCCACTTCGGCCCAGACTTGGGCGTCCAAAGCGCCTCGCATCCGTGCCGCGCATCCGGGTGATCCCGTCGCGCTGCAAGCGACCAGTTCCGCGCCCCTGGGCTTCCTGGTCCAACCCTTCTGCTGCCTGGGCGAGGGACGACCGAGAGCTCCGCCGAGGAGCCCCCCCCCCCCTCTCCTTGGGGGTGCACATGCGAACCCTACCCCTGCCCCTGGGAGCTACCGAACGAAGTGCACCCCACCCTCCCCCGCAGAAATCGCAGGGGTGCAGGGGTAGGGTTCGCATGTGGCCCCCCTATCTGCCGCCGCCGCCCCCCCCCCAATGGTAACCTGGGGCGGCGAGGCAGGAGCACGGCCTAGCGCAGAGGCTCCGCCGAGGAGCCCCTCCCCTGCCGCCGCCGCCGCCGCCGCCCCGCCCCCCCCCCGCCCCCACTGCGGAGGGGGGCGCCCGCCGCCTCTCCCCGCCCCGGCAAGGCGCCCGACGCCGGCGCGCTGTACGGCCCCGGCGGCCCAGCGGCGCCCCCGGGCCTCGCCGGCGGCCTGCGGAGCGCCTACGCGGCGCTGCAGGGATTGTCGGCGGCCGCCGTCGCCCTCGGCTTCAGCCGGGCCTGTCCCTCTACAGGAGGAACATTCAACAGCAGTCAAACAGAATAGTCTGGGGGCGATTTTTCTGGCATTTTTCTACCATTTGGGGATATTTGTTTGAGAACTTTTAGTTTTTCGTCGAAGATCGGCCTGTAGGGGGATATGCCCGACCTAACCCTCGGCCCCACTTGGAGGAGCGCGAGCTGAGACGACGGTGTCTGGCCTTCGGGGGCCCCCTCGTCGCCACGGTCGGAAAACAGGTGCGCGTTTGGACCCGTGGAGGGGCCCAGAGACCGAGTTTGAGCCGAGCTTGTCTCAACTCGCCCGCCGATGCGAGGCCTCCCCCCCTCGCTCCCTGGCGGAGAAGCCTCGGCAGGAGGGTTCTGGCGGGGGGGGGGGGGCGCCTCCAGCGGGCCGCCGGGGCCGTGGGGAGCAAGCGGGCCCGGTCACAAGAGGCGAACACATCGAATCCGCGCCCTCGCGGTTTGGATTCCGGGGCGCGATCCCGGGGGTGCGCGGTCGCACGGACACGTTCCGCGCGAGGCATGCGCGAGAAAACACCCCGCACCCGCGGGGTCGCGGCCCAGGGGCCAGGCCCGCGAGGCCGCGGATGCGGGTGCGCAGTCAATGTGTCCCGCGGCTCGGGGCGATGAGCCGCTCTGCGGGCCCAGATCATGCGTTACCCAAAAATTTGGGTAACGGTCGGGAACGACCAGTAGCGACCGATACCGCGAAAATTTGGGTAACGGTCGGTAACGGCACGTTACCGAAAAAACGTTGATTTCGGTAACGGGCGGTAGCGGTCGGTAGCGGATTTTGAACGATTTTAATGTGAATTGTTAAAACCGTTACCGACCGTTACCGACCGTTACCGACCGTTACCGATCGATGTTTTGCATCATTGCATTGCAAAAAAACAGACAATCGTCATCATCATCATCATCATCATCATCATCATCATCATCATCATCATCATCATCATGAAGATCATCATCATCATCATCGACATCATCATCATCACCATCATCATCATCATCATATTCATCATCATCATACTCATCATCATGAACATCATCATCGTCATCGTCATCATCATCATCACCATCACCATTATCATCATCATCATCATCATCATCATCATCATTTTCATCTTCGTCTTCATCTTCATCATCATCTGCGTCATCATCATCGCCATCGTCATCATGACCATCATAACGATTATCATTACCATCACCACCATGGCAACCACAATCACAATAGTCATCATCATCACCACCGTTCTCTTTTCACATCCTTTTTCTCCTTCCGAACACCCCCTCATTGTCCTCCTACTCCTCCCCATCCACTTCATACTCTTCCGTCCTCCCCTCCTACTCCTCCTCCTCCTCCTCCTCTTCCTCCTCCTCTTTCTCCTCCTCCCCGCCTAGTCCTCCTCCTCCTCCTCTTCCTCCTCCTCTTCCTCCCGATCCCCTGTGTCTTTTGGGCCTCCCACTCGGGCCAACAGGACCTCGACGCGCAAGGGCCTCACTCGGGGCCGCATTCCCACGTCGTCCGAAACCGTGAGCAACGTCCAGCGTGGCGAAAGCGAGCAGGAGGAGGAGGAGGGGAAGGAGGAGGAGGGAGGCGGCGCAGGGGGAGAAGGAGAAGGAGAAGGAGGAGGGATAGGAGACGCAGGGGGAGAAGGGGGATGTACCCTCAGGCCCAGATGCAGACTGCGAACTGCGAACTGCGAACTGCGATCATCGAACTGCGAACTCCGAACTGCGATCTACGAAAACTACGATAGAAGACAAACAATTAAGACCGTCGCGATGCCAGGGCCCCACAGGGCCCTCCAGCAACCGCCTGCCAGTGTTCCGAATTGCGTCCAGCGTGGCAACCGCCCATCGGATGGGCGCTAGCAAAACTTAAGAGGTTGGGGTTGCCCGACCCGACACGCAAAGACATCCTGGACGGCCCAGGGCTGCGTCGCAGCCAGTTTCCGAGCCGCGCCCAGCGTTGCGACGCCAGAAGGGGTCGGGGAGGTGGGGAAACTGAACTGTCTGACTGACTGATTGACTGATCAAAAAAGGAGAACGCCGTTTCTAAACGCGTTGCCCGCCCCGCGAGGTGAACGGCAAGCGTGGCAGGGCACAGGCGGAGGAGGAAAGATACACGTGTATACGCACATGCGCACGCGCGACCATACTTACATATGCGTACCCACACCATAGATACGCACATATATGCATACATGCGTATTTGCAAACATGCATGACTAAAAACATGCATATGTTTATACATACATACATGCATGCATACATACATGTATACGTGCATACATGCACACTCACATTTACACATGTGAATGCATAAATACTTACGTGCTTGCACACTCACCTTTACACATGTGAAGGCATAAATACCTCACCGATATACACCTGGTCATACATGCGCGCGTGTGAAGAGCACGGGGCGAGGCCTGCGCAAAGCCGCTTGGCGAGCACAGCCGCCTAGCCAGCCGAACTGGATTTCAAGCAGGGCCTCCGACGCCGACTACCGCCGTTGACGGCCCCACTCCCAACTTCCCTATCCCCCCTCCCCCTCCCCACCCTCCGCTCCTGTCTCCTCCCGACACCATCCCTCTCCGATCCCCCCTCCCCTCCTCACCACCTCCTCCTCCTCCTCTTCCTCCTCCTCCTCCTCCTCCTCCCTAGACCCTTTCCTCCAGTTGTGAACCCGCCGCCTGAAGGCGCCCTCGGGCGATCGGAGGCAATGCTTGAAATTTGAATGGACTAATCCAAGCAACCGCGCGTGAACTCCAGACCCGCAGCCCCGAGTCAGGGGCAGGCGTAAGTTGATCTACCCGAGGGGCTGGGGGGCGGAGAGGAGGAGGGGGAAGGAGGAGGAGGAGGAGGAGGTGGAGGAGGTGAAGTGGAAGGAAGAGGATGAGGAGGAGGAGGAGGAGGACGAGCGCGAGGGGAGATTCCTAGAATGGGGGGGGGGGGGGATTGGAAAGGCAGAGGGGTACAAGAGTGGAGGAGGCTAGGAGGAAGAAGAGGGAGCGTGCGAAAAGGAAGAGGGAGAGGGGCGCGACGACGACGGCGCCTCCTCCCCCTCCTCCTCCTCCTCCTCCTCCTCCTCCTCCTCCTCCTCCTCCTCTTCCTCCTCCTCCTCCTCCTCCTCCTCCCCCCTCCCCTCCTCATCGTCATTCTCTTCGTCCCCCTCCTCCTTCTCCTTCTCCTCCTCATCCCTCCTCCTCGCTCTTTCTAGTAGCCACCATAGGCGCTTTCAAATGGGTAGTGGCAGTTACACGACGAAGTCGTACATATGCCTGCCACACCGTATTCGCTCGGCAAGTTTACAACTCACAGACGAAATAGACGACCCTAGTGCGCACGCGGCCCCCACCCTAGTCACGAACCTCTGGTAGTCCTCCGCCTGGTAACACCAGACGTTCTTGGGGTTCAAGGGGGTCTGGCGAACTAAATGCCAAACAAAATGATGTTTGTTGACAGTCGACCACTTGCGTTTCCGCTGGTCCAGTGCATCCCGCGACAGGGCCTGGTAACAAGTCAAGAAATTGTCGGCTGACCGAATCAATTGCTGGCACTGGGCGTCCGACAGAAACATGTCGCCGTCGGCGATAATCTGATAGATCTGGCACAGGCTCTTGAAGCACAGTGTCCTAGTTTTCCTGATCTGGGTATCATCCTCGTAATCTTTGGATAACTGGTAGCACACTGTGGCCAGATGTCGCGCCTCCGCTGCTTTGATAGTCCTGGACAGTATGGGATAGTCCGAGTGCGGCGAGTCCTTGTTTTTCACAAAGGTGCCTAATCTCAATACCGAGATCCGATGGTCCAGGCCAGCAACTCGATATATATCCTGGATCCTCGCCCAGAGGCGTGCTAAAATTGCTGATCTGGTGCCGTGCTCATGTTCGAACACCACCTCGTAGAGCATATTCGCACAGGCATGACCCGTGACGCCCAAATCCATGCAATGCATGGTATCCAAGGCCAGTGACCGTAGGGTCACCCCCCAAATATCATAGATCGGGTGCGTCACACGATAGACGCGCTCGTGGAACTTCCAATGGTTCGGAGTCTCCTCGGGGAAACGGGGTGGACATTACACTAAGCACCCCCCTCAAACAAGGAGCCCATGGTGGGGGGGGTGGGGGGGGGGGGGAACCATCCTCGACGAAATTGTTGTAGGCATTCTCGCCAGCACCCCTATGACAAGGACAGAGCCAGCAGAATTGGTTATCGCCATGGTAAGGAACCTGCAAGTGCGCCGCATAATAATCCAGATCGCCGAGCACTGCATACAAGAACGCCTTGTAAGGTCTGTCGGGCGAACACAGCCACTGTCCCGCAAGACGGGCCCGATCTGGATCCAACGCCTCACCCTTCCAATCCGCCGCCCCCGCGTTGCCGAGGGATATTGGGAAACCCGCGGTGGTGCCACGGCTGACCTACCTCTTGTCCCACGTTCCTCCTCCTCCGCCTCCTCCTTATAGGCTGTACAGCTGCGTTACCTACGCAGCCTCGAAAACGCACTGGCGGCCGTGCAGAGCAAGAAGTCCAGGAGAGCGGGGCGGCGAAATAGAGATCGGGTGGGTGAGTAGGGTGGGCGGGGCGTCGGGCGGGGGGAGGGGGGGCGTTGGAGTGGGAGGGGCGGCGGCGGGATAGGAAGAGGGCGGGTGGGAGAGGGTGGGAAGAGGGGGTGGGCGGGAAGGGGGAGGTGGAAGCGAGGGGGGGAAATGGGGAAACGGGGGGAGAGAGGACACCGTCTCGAAGGGGCCCGAGTGGGACAAGGCGCGGCCCAACGCAGTGTCGTTTCAGGGGCGCGCAAGTGGGTTGGGCGCAGGCATGGATATTCCTGGTTGGGCGCTTGCCCTGCGCCAAGGCATTGAAGCTCCACCTGAGCACCTTCCAAATTTCAATGAAAGAATCACGGCCATCGTGATGGCGCCCTTTGGCAGTGATGCTATCTGGCCAAGAGGCCATGTTCAGGGTAAGAGACTTCGTTGTACCAACTGCTAATAACCCTGTAATGCTGATCGTCGTCAGGGAGTCGCGGCTGAGAAACTCCGCGCCGTCTCCATGGATCCTGAGCGGCACCAGCGTCCTCTGGCGGTCATGGACCTTCCAGCAAGGATGCCCCCGAAGGCGCGGTTCGCTCCTGAGATACGTTTTATACTGAAAGGCCGACACCTGGGGAGCACAATGCGAAGGACGTGTGGTTGGTGGGTGTGGTTGATCATGGTGACACAAAATGTGTTTATGTACTGTTATGTTTTGCGGGGCCCCATTTGTCCCGACGAAAAAAACGCTGTCCTGGGCGCGTGCTCCCAGAAGTAGGACAGGCGGTCGACGCCGAAAATGTGGTCGAACTCTGCAGGGAACTGGTGAAACAGGCACGAAAACCACTCATGTGGTAACAATACAGAGCACGCAGTCGTCGAGACCTGAGTTGTTTTCAAGTTGATGTACGGGATCTCGAATTTCAGTGGCTGCGGTAGGAGGTTATCCCCGAGCAGGGTGGTCAACTGCCCGTGCACGTTCCCTGGGTAGTTTCCGAATTGGCCCAGCCTGGCCAGGCGTTCGATCTCACTGTGCCGAAGCCCGTCTCTAAAGGCCGCCGCTGCAATCCTCTGGACCTCAGCCGCGGGCATGAGACCCCAGCTCCGAGCCTTCAGCAAGTGGGTGCCGAGGTTGGAGAACTCCGAATCTTCAATGGCCGCATCGGGGACGCCTTCGGGGCCATCGCCTGCCCCCGCTGGCTCTAACCGCCTCTGTTTCTTTGGAGGCATTGTGCCACGGGGATCGGCAATTGCGCCTCGAGCCCTAGCGCTTAGGTTACGAGCGCGAATGATCAGGACAACAACCTGTGGGCATTGAATCGGACGGATGAGGGAAACGAATGGATGGAAAGAGGAGCGGGGATCACTGCGGCGCCATGCCAGGCGCCAGTCTGGTGCAGACCGTCGGGCCGTCGCGCTAAGAGCTGCAGGCGACGTGCTCGCGCGATGCATGCGCTCTAAAAGAGTGCCACGAGCACCCCTTCTCACGGGGCTTTGGAAGGAGGGGCCCCCATCGCAGAGCAGGATCTGCGCCGCGCCAAACAGACGGCATCCCCAATTTCGGCCGCACGGAAACAGGAGGCGCCGATCAGCACTAGGCCGAATATCGACATCTTCTTTTTCGGTCACAAAAATGGGACGGCTGCAAAGGGACCCCAGCTTTCTATTGGTTAGGTTTCTCTAGTGGCTTCTGAGATGCCATGGTTGTTTCACTGAAACAGGACGTCTCCCCCAAACCGTTTCGTCAAGGACGGGCGTACCGAGCATGGGACACGGGGGGGTGGGCACATGGGGGGGTGGGGGTGCGTCTGCACGAGAACATCCCAAAGCCAGCGCGCGTTATACGCGGGGCTAATTCGTTTCCGAGCGCCAGGGAGGGGTTTAACAGTTGTTGGAAGGAACTCGGGGTGGCGCTGGCACTCTCCAACCCCCCTTTTCCTCCTCCTCCTCCTCCTCCTCCTCTTCCTGCTCCTCCTCCTCCTCTACCTCTCCCCCCTTCTCCTCATCCTGCTGCTTCTCCTCCTCCTCCTCCTCCTCTTCCTCCTCCGCCTCCTCCCCCTCCTGCCCTGCCTGTCGCCAGCCTAACCTCCTCCGCCTCCTCTTGGGGGCTCACGCTACGAGCCTACTTCACGATGGCCAGCTCCAAGGCCTGCGCCAGCACCGCCTTCGACTTGCTGACGACCTCGCGCGCGGCCCCCGTGCCCACCAGGTCGTCCAGCGACAGGTTGCTGGCGTCGGTTGCCAACGACTGGATCTGGCCGAGCACCTGGGCTCGGGCGATGGCAAAAGGACCACGAACATCCCCCCTTGCGCAGTCCGCATTTCCGAACGGGCCTTGCGATAAAGATCGGCCAGCCTTACTAGAGGCCGTTGTTTGCTAAACAACGTTTGCTCGTACTGAGCCATCGTGGGCCGTTGCAGTTGCGATGCGTTCACCCCAAAAAAAACTTGCCTACCCTCCGACTGGTCGCTCCTCCTCCTCCTCCTCCTCCTCCTCCTCCACATCTTCCTCATCCCCCCCATCCTGCTCCTCCTCCTCCTCCTCCTCCTCCCCCTCCCCGTCTTCACCCTCATCCTTTTCGTCTTCCTCTTCCCCTTCCTCTTCCTCACAATCCCTGTCCTCTTCCTCGTTTCTGATGTTCACCAGGCCGAATCCCCTGTTCACCCCCCCAGCGCCTTCTTTGCCTCGACGATGTCCGCCTTCCCGTACTCCTCGGAGCTGTTGGCCGTGCGAATGACCACCACCAGGCTCCCTGCTGCGTCCTCTGAGGAGCGCACCAGAACTTTGCCGACGCGCAGCAATCAAAGGGGAGGAAGGGGGTTGGCACCGCCAAACGGCGTGGCCCATTGGTCGGTCCTATGGCCCGAGTGATACGCCAGCTGCCCCACGAGGGCCACAAGCGTGCCACTCAAATGCGCCCGAGCTGCGTCCAGCATGGAAACGAGGGCAGAGCGCTGAACTGTGTGAGAGGGGGAGGGAGGGGAGAGCGTGGAGGACGAGACGGTTGAGGAGAGGCAGGGTGAGAGGGAGAAAGAGAGGAGAGGACGCCCAATCATAAGGAGGAGAAGAAATTCGAGGAGGAGGGGACGACGACGACGACTGCGACTTCGGCTCGGAATCCGAAAGTCCTTGGCAGCCAGCGCAACTTTGTTGACATCCTCCTGGGCTTTGGCTGAGAACTTGATCGCTTCGGGGCGCAGCGCTTTGATCACGTTTGCGCTGGTCTCGAGCTTTTTCAGCTCCTTCCTGACGACAGCGCTCACCTGGGCTCATCACCAGCATCGCCATCATCACCATCATCACCCACATCCTCATCATCCTCCTCCTCCCCACCTCCACCCTCCACATCCTCCTCCGTCCTACACCTCGTCCTCCCTCTTTCCTCCTTCCTCGGCCTCCTTCCTCGCTCTTCGTTTTTCTCTCGCTCGTCTCTCTCATCTTCAATCGGTTTAAGTTTACGCCTCCTCACCCCACCCCTCGCCCCTCAGCGGGGGGTGGGGCGGAGGGGAGGGCGACGGCGACAAAACCAGAAGGCCCAGGGGGATTATGCTCAGACCAGGAGGGGGGCGGCCAGGAATGCCAGAGTTGCGTCGAGCATGAGTGAGAGAGGGAGGACGGAGGACGAGGGAGGAGGACGAGGGCTGAGGAGGGGGGAGGAGGGAGGATGAGGAGGATGAGGAGGTTGGAGGTGGGGGAGGAGAGGAAGGAAGGTGAGGGGAGGAAGCCGAGATCAGTTCCAGCCTAAGGTAAACCTTATTCTTCTTGTTGTCGCGCGTGGAAGCTGGCCCCGTCGTGAAGGTGGCGTCGGCGTTGGGCAAGTCCAAGCCCATGTGGTTCATGCTGCCTTCTGATGGGCGAAACCAAAAATATGCCGCCTCCTGCTTTACATCCTCTCGCTATCCATCCAGTCTTCCTCTCCCGTGTCCTCCCATCCCTCCTCCTCCTCCTCCACCCATCCATGCATCCATGCGTCCATCCATCCATCCTTCTATTCCTCTCTCCTCTACTTGTTCCTGCTCATCCTCCTCCTCCCCCTCTTCTCTTCCTCCTTCTCCCTCCTCCCTTCTCCTCCGCCCTTCATTTCCTCCTCCTTCACGGCCCGCGTGCCGTGCGAAGCCAAATCTGCGTGCATGCGCAGGCCCCCCATGCCCCGCCCGATGGCATCGTGCTCCTCCTGAGAAAGCTTCTTCTGGCCGCTGGAACTCTGAACCTTCGAGCGCTTGAAGGATTTCTTCTGCTTCTGCCGCTTGATGCGGAACTGCTGCCTCCTCGGGTTGTCTGGGTTCGGGCGCGCCTGGGCATCGGTGGCATCTCACGCGTGCATGGCCAAGCGACCCACAAACGTCGAACCTGGGAGTCCAGACTTGGTTTGGCCCCTGAGGGGTCCGAACTTGGCAGTCCGAATCGGGCCGCCTGAGGGACCTTGGGATTTTTTCGTGGTCGATGGCCAAGAAATTGCACGTGTGACGGGAAGGAGGAGGAGTAGGAGGACGAGGAGGAGGAGGAGCAGGAGGAGCAGGA